GTGGCCCTGTGCCGTTCCGCAGGCCTGAGGGTGAGCAAGTCGAGCACTTTGCTTCCGAGCTCTGGGCCCCCAAGTCCAACCGCCTGTTGACATCTTTACCTAGACACCTCACAAGCCCTCCTGACTTCCTACGCCCCGAACTGAATTCATAATCTTCTCCTAAGAAAATGATTCCTCCCCCAAGTCTTCCCACATGACATAGGACACCATCCTGTACCCAGGGGCCCCTTCACCTCCCACATCTACGCCAGAACGGAGTCCTGAAGATGACACCGTAGAGTCCCTCCCCTCCCCGCCCCTCCCACTGCTGCCTTGTCCCCAGCACCTCCGTCTTCACCTGGTACCACCATAGGCCATCAAATTCATCCCCCTGCTCCCTTCCTTATCCCTTCTAACCCACACCCGAGAAAGAAGCCGGAAGGATCCTACAAACAGTAAATCAGCATCACCTTCCTCCCATACTTAAAATTCGTTACTCCCTTCCCCTGGAATAAAACCCAAGCTCCGCACCTTGGCTTATGAGTCCTGCACAGTGTGGCCCCGCCAACCCATCAGCCCCCAAGCTAAACTCAAGTGGCACTGGCCCTCCGTTAGCCCCTCAGACACACCAAGTTCCTCCCTGCCTCAGGACCTTTAGCACACACTGTACCTTATGCCAGGAACACTCTCCCACCACTACCCAGAGAGACCAAGAAACAGAGAGAAGAAGGGCATCATTCCTCACTTCGCCGGCTCCGTCACCTGCTCTAGGTCACAGGTGGTAAGTCACAGCCTCAGCAAGACTCCCTTCTACAGCAGATAGAAGTATTCTCTTGGCATGGCTGCTTTGGTTGAAGTTGTAAGCCGTGAATTTATGTTGTAAATCCAACAGATGGGCTCCCCAACCGCTCAGCATGTCTTGCCCTAGAGTCCAGGTGCCATTCCAGATTGCCCTCATCTGCCTCCCTGAGCCACTCACAGCTCAGCAACGGTCACGCCAAGCCATTCTGGCCTACTTTGCACCTCCAGTGCCCCCAGAGCTCCATCGGGGCAGAAACTGTATTCATCCCGCCCATCGTGATATTACCAGCACTTAGCGCAGTGCCTGGCACACAGCAGGTCCTCAAGAAAATAGCTGCCAAATGAAGGAGTCAGGAGATCTGAAAGCATTTAAGGTTTCGAACAGACTTCCTTCCAAGACCAGGTGACATTCGAGAGGGGGGGAGAAAAAAACACAACGCCAAACGTGACATATGCTTCAGATTTTAAATTTTATATGTAAAGAAGTGAAGGGGTCTTGTAGTCATTTTATTTTCTTATAAAGAGGAGCATAAAACCACTAGGCGTGCAAAAAAAGTGAAGTTTTATGGTGCAGTAAATAAAAAAGAGAAGGGTGGGGACCAATCATGGAGGGGGGAAAGGAGCCGTGGTACAGTACAGAAATAGAAACAGATGTAGAGATAAGAGAGAGATCAAGAGAGAAACCAGCAAAGTACAAAACAGGGCTACGCTGCTCTTCTGGGAACGAAAGGGCAACCCTCCAAATTTCGAAAGGGGTTTTCATTCCTACCTACAGGGTAAGAGCACTTGTCCCAAGTCCCCTCTCCATTTTTCAAAGAAGGTTTTTAAAAACCGACTTACTACGCTAAAAATCAGTGGTCAGCACATTGCATTTTGAAGAGAACACAATCTATTCAAATGATTTAAAAAAAAAAAGACTCCACTTGGTTATCTTCAGAGAATGTGGCCGCAAACCTTGAAGTCATGCACTGGGTTTTCAAAGTTATGAGCGAGAAGAGGGATGGCTCCTTGGGGGCTGTCAGAAGAGGGGCATGAACTTCAACACAGCCCAGCAGAGGTCTTTCGAATTGCACATCCAGCCCGTTCCCTTCTCTGGAACGTTCCATGGCCTCAGCCTTAAACGAATGGGTAAGCAGAGCTTAGCCCACCGCACGTGGTCCAACCTCTCTGGCCAAGCCAACTGGGCCAGTGGGCCTTCCCAACCAGGCCAATTAGAATCTCCCTGAGAAATCACAATTTGGGCCCCAAAAAGGCGGTGCGGGGACAGCACATAAAATTGACAGGCAGGAGGTGTGGGCATTTTTCCTCCAGGCTTTCTCTGCCTGGTAAGAGTGTGGAGTCGGGGGAAGATGGTCTGAAGAGAGACGTGAAACATCAGGAACGTTGTAACACAGAGACAGCCAGGCCCGTGGGTCCAAATCCCAGGCCCATTCGACAGCTCTGACCTTGAACAAGTTCCTTGACATCTCCTTGACCTAACTGCGACCTGCTTTTAGGGCTCCTTTAAGGATTAAATAAATTAACACACACGGCATTGGAACAGGGTCTGATACACAGTAAATGCACGCTGCACAGTAACTATTATGATCATTCTGCGCAACCCTAAGCTCACGAGGCTGAGAATTTCTCGCTGTTTTGTACACACCCCAGCCCAGAGCCTAGAACCGTGCCCGGTACACAGGAGTGCTCAACCAGTGTTTGTTGAGCGATCGGGCCATGAAGATACCATCCAGCCCTGGGAGGACAGAGACCCCGGACAGAGCCTGCTAACTTCTCTCCTGATCCCAGCTCCTCCTCCAACAGGGCGATCCGGCCGGGTCTCGTCCAAGCCCCAAGTCAGATCACGCTTCCTTCCTGCTTTTCACGTCTCAGGATAAAGCCAAACTCTCCCCGCTGGCTACCCCAGGCCCTGCACACTCTGGCCCCTGCCTCCCTCCCTCCCTCCCCTTCCTTCTGGTCCTTCATGCTCCAGTTATATTTGGCCTCCTTTGCTCCTCTAACGTGATTCCCTCTACTTCCTTCTGCCTCCAGGCACCTGCACCTGCCGCTCCCCCGCCTCCTCAGCCCCAGCCTGAGGGAAATCTTAGCATGTGTTTTTCCCTCGTTTCCACTGGCTCCTCCGTTTTACACACCCAGAGCCTCACGCTCGTTTCCTGTGTGCGACTTGCCACCGTGTGTGCTTCTATCATTTGTGTGTGACGATGTAGCCGACGACTCTGGCTCCTAGACCGTGAGCTCCAGGAAGAAAGAGCTCATAGCTTCTTTTTTATTCTTCACCGTATTTTCGTAGCGAGCACGGTATATGGCAAAAAGTCGGTGCTCAACACATACTTGCGGAGGGAATGAATCCACCTGCCGAATGGGTTGACTGAACAAAGAAGTAAATTGGGGACCGGTCTCAAGTCTGGCTTCTTTCTGAGTTGAGTCTCCTAGCCTGGTTTTGCAGTCGTAGCCTCCTCATATAATCCCCCTCTTCTAATGTGCCATGAGTGAGTTTCCCTGCCATTACTAAACAGCACAGACGCACTTTGACTCCAACACACAGAGTAACACCACCCTCTGAGCCAGGAAGCCCCGTCCTAGAATAGATAAGCCTAGACCAATAATGATACGAAGACTTCCCTTCCCAGAAAACAATTTTCATGCATGCCAGAGTGAATGGTACCAGACCAGCCCTCCCACCGTAAACAACTATAAATCGGGACAAACATCTAGAAGTCAACAACTTTCAGGCATTGGACAGCAGGCAGCCTAAGACTGTGGCCACTGAGGGAAAGGAAACACAGGAGCCCCCGTCCCCTCCAGCTCCCTGCCTGAGGACAGCTCCCACACCACCGGCGCGGAGTCACGTCCACCAAGCACCCAAAAAGGTTATTGACACAGCATGGCAAACACCTTGGACTTGCCACAGATCCGCCATAACAAAATGTGAAATCAAGTCTACACAAGTATAAAGTGGCCAGTCAGCTGCTGCGTCGCCTTTGAAGGAAGATAACAAAATCCAGAGTCTCTCTGTCCAGTAAATATATTATCATCACAATATTAGAATATAGTCAACAATTACTAAACATGCAAAGAGAAAGGAAGGTGCGGCTCACGGTCAAGGAAAAGAAGCAATGAATAAACACAAATGGCAAAATAGCTGTGATGGCAACTCCAGAAAAAGCAACTGCCAGGACGTGGAAGTTCCTATTATTATCACAAAAGTCCTTAACCAGGTGTATACACCCAAAGCGCCTATGGAGATTTCAGAGATTTTGGATTTTTGTTTGTTTGCTGATCTCAGCTCTACTCATGTTATGCAATGTCTCATTGAGTAGTTTCAGAGGATGCTTAGGAATCCGCCGTTTTCACAACCTCTCTAGAGGCTCTCATGAATACTACATCAGATTCTTATCATAGAATACATCCACCTTAAGGCAAATAAAAATAAAAGTTAAATTTATACGTATTGAAGGTTCTGCTTAATCGAGTTGGTTGGTGGGCACCAATCAGCACTCCCTGGTTGAACAGATTACACAACTAAGAAAGATAATTTCAACTTGAATTATTTTGCAGAAAAACGCACACTTCTCTACTTATTTTGACTGAAAGAAAAACTGAGGTTAAATCAAAAGCCACAGACGCAAAAGATAATGATTAAGAAGAAAAAACTAGAGGAAACGCTCATGGTATAATATTTTAAAAATCAGAAAACCAGCTACTATAATATCAAACATTTAAATGTATATGAATAGACATCGCCATGTTTGCGAACAGAAAAAAAGGCAACAAGAAATAGGTCGAAATGCTAACAGTATTTCTGTTATGTTTAATTTTAATTTTCCCCTGTTTTTCTATACTTCACAAGAGTGTATGGATTTTCCTCAGTGGACTCTCCTCTGAAATTTAAACACAAAATAATGGCTTCTGAAACCTTCTGTCAACACACAAACCCCTGCAAAACTCTAGCAATTTTTCAATCAGAAAGAGAAGAGAAGAAATAACTTAAGAATATCATTTCTATCCTTATCCAGCTCAGGAAGACTTTCTTCTCTGGTCTCTGAGTAGCTGGACTAGTTTCTGATCCTACTAATTCCATCTCAAATTTCCCATCTGTTAGACGAGTAGGAGGCCGAGACACATACCACAACCCAACAAATAATAGGCAGTGGCTGAGCAAAAATCGATCACTTAATAGAAATGAAGGACACAAAAAGGAAAAGAATTCAAGTCCATACCTGAACGACAGGGTGGCCACCAGTCGGAGCTTTGACAGCCCCTCGGCTGCCTTCTGTCTCATAGTGGGCCCGGTGATGTGGCTTGGGCTGCACCTCAATCCGCAGCTCATAGGACCCCGACTGGTGGGAGAGTGGCCACTCAAGCGGAGGGAGGGATGCGGTCACTGGAATACTGAAGGAGGAAACAGAATCAGTCGTGTGTACAAGAAATCAGAACCAGTCGACCTGTACAATAAACGTAAATGGTCCCTTTTCTGAAAAATCATGTCAGAGGGTACAGGAGTAAAGTACTGGCTGTTGGAAAGCACATATTTCTCAGACAGAATAGGTAGGATTCTACTCAAGTGAGAGATCTTTGTCTTTGTTTTCTCTTCCACCTTTGATGAAAACAGTGTGACTGACATCTCAGTTTGTGAAGCTAATTCCATTACATGTGAGTTCTAGCATATTTCTAAATGTTACCACTCCTTGTCCTCTGGGAATTTTGAGGAGTACCATCTCCTTCCTCTAAAAATCACCCCTTACCCAGAATGTTCTCCCTTTCCAAAGGAGTAAGTGTGGGAGAAATTACCTGAAGTGGAAATCAGCAGCCCACGTGTGTCACAGATGTGCAATGTGACCTTAGGCAAGTAACCTCACCTCTTTTATCTCCAGTGTCTTATAATAACATATCAAATGGACCAGATGGCACCTGAGAGTTGTTTCAGTTCTTATTTCCAAGTCTGATGCTCTCGATTAAAAGCTGCTTTTAAGGAGAGACCATTTCTAGTCACAGCCATTGGCTCTCAGGACCAGTAAAGAACATCTAACCATAGAGAAGTGTCTGATTTTGGTATGGATGAGTCAAACCACCGGACCCCTAAATTTAAAGGAAGAGGAGAAGTCAAGAACATGACTGGAGTTACCCACCCGTGTTTAAGTCCAAGCTCCACCTCTAGCTACTTTGAGCAGATGCCTCTATTAAGTTTCCCTGGGCCTTAAGTTTCCTCCATTGTGAAATGGAGCTACGGAGATCACATGAAGAGCTTAGCACAATAACTACTCAATAAATATCAGGCTATAATCATGTTTCCCTGTATATACACTCCATATTTCAAAGTTATCTCCTATACTCTAATTTACTTGTGGTTATAGTATTAGATATATAGGCCTTTACATCTGAAGTTGTAATGACAGCCATTAAGTTTCATTTTCTTAGAGAATCTTAACCCTACCCAGCACACCCAACAGGTACTTGACACGTGGTTAGAATCATGTAATTAAAGAGTTGGCTGAGGTCTTAATGATCTACCTAGACCATTCCTTCAGAGTCTTAGGGAACACAGATATTTTCCCAAGATTACAAGGCTCCAACTTATGTCTCTTGACTCTCAGTCCAGTGCTCCATGCACGTCTCCATGCTACTAGAGATATGCTACTTCTTATCTTACTGATTTATTTAAAATAGGGCCAAGAAAATATCTCACTTATAGAATGGCTCTGGAACAATACTCGATATTTGATTGGTTCTCGGTCAGTAGTCAGTGGGTGGGTGGGTAGATGGCTGGATGGCTAAATGAATGAATGAGTGAGCAGTCTTATTCCAAAGAAGCCCCATATATTCAAAGTAGCTCCAAAGTTGGAAACGCATGGATTTGTGTCACTATGTCCTGATTTTGTACATGTGGCACCAATCGTTAATCCAATCTGGATATTCTTTTCCACTAAGCCTGGAGCTTCTAAAAGCTACCCTTATAGGGGCGCCTGGGTGGCGCAGTCGGTTAAGCGTCCGACTTCAGCTCAGGTCCCGATCTCGCGATCTCGCGGGATCTCGCGATCTCGCAGGATCTCGCGATCTCGTGGTCCGGGAGTTCGAGCCCCGCATCAGGCTCTGGGCTGATGGCTCAGAGCCCGGAGCCTGTTTCCGATTCTGTGTCTCCCTCTCTCTCTGCCCCTCCCCCGTTCATGCTCTGTCTCTCTCTGTCCCAAAAATAAATAAACGTTGAAAAAAAAAATTAAAAAAAAAAAAAAGCTACCCTTATCAACTGGACTTAGGGAAGCACTTGCAATGAAACCAATTCCATTCCTTCTCCATCATAGCAGTACCAAGGGCAATGCAGTGGGACCCCATAAACCCCATCAGTGCTGAAGTCCAACTCGAACATGCAGTCCAACTTCAAATTATGTCGTCACAATGCAAGCAAATCTCCATCTCTTCTTTGCAACTAGATCACCTCCTGAAGCCCCCCCCCTTGCCCTGAAGTCTTAGAGCGTCCACCTCAGTTTCGGTCCCAACATGCCTTCTAGCTTCTGCCTGCAGCCAAGGGGCCATGTGTCTTACACACTCACACTCTCATCATGCGAGTTAATTTTTTTTAATTTGCAAAATAAGGCTCATAAAAATATCACTTTACCCCTGTTCTAATATCTTTTGAAGTATCAAAAATATTCAGGGAGGAGAAGACCCAGTGGGCTATCTCTGAGTATCAACTTCAAATTTTGTTTGGTTCCGGAACAAGTCTTTGACGACTACAATACAATCTTAAGAATTAGACCATCAGAGCCAATGTGAAATTCTGCATTTGAACTCCAGCCCTCAGCCCCACACACCCGGAGACAAATGTTATCATGAGACTTCCCTGGACGTCCTATCTTCTCGATCTTACAGAAAACTGTCACAAACATCTCATCAGCTGGCACAAATTGGCCCTCCTAGGGACTAAAGTGGTCAGTATCGTTTGGACCAAGAGTAGAGAAGGAAGGACAAACGATAAAGTCTTTATAAAGTCTCAGACAAATGCAGCACAATCATATTTTATATTCATGTTCCTCCCCAATCTCAATCATTAAGTAAACCACGTTTCACAGACTGGTCTGTAGCAGAAAGAATAAGGAGTCAAGAATTTGAGATTCTAAGTTTCCAACTCTGTCACTGACTAGCTGGGTGACCGTGGCCACGTCCGCCCGCCTCACCAAGCCCAGGCTTCTCAACCTGCAGCAGGCGCTGGCCTTGATCAGCATTTCCTATGGTGGCTCCATACGACTTTGGTCACAGAACTAAGAGCCCCGTGGCCAAACGGCCTTTGAGATTACTGCGCGTTCTGTCCACAGCTGGGAGTGGCCCCTGCATAAAGATATCTGTTTAACTCTGTTAAACTCAGAATCTCCTTTTCTTTTTTTTTTTTTTTTTTTTTTTTTTTTTTTTTTGTTTTCAACATTTATTTATTTATTTTTTTGGGACAGAGAGAGACGGAGCATGAACGGGGGAGGGGCAGAGAGAGAGGGAGACACAGAATCGGAAACAGGCTCCAGGCTCTGAGCCATCGGCCCAGAGCCCGACGCGGGGCTCGAACTCACGGGCCGCGAGATCGTGACCTGGCTGAAGTCGGACGCTTAACCGACTGCGCCACCCAGGCGCCCCTGAATCTCCTTTTCTAAGGAACACCCATCGACCTGTGATGGCACCGGTGTTCTCAGAACCGCTCGGGAAGAAGGGCCAGACTGGAAGGCCCCTGTGGTCCGCTTTGGTCTGGTGTGGGAGAAACAAGGCCCGGGGGACAGAGCCCTCAACTACTCTCACCTCATCAATCACAACAGCCCCACCAAGATCTATTTTGGTGTTCAATTTAGTATTTGCATAAAAAAAAAAAAGTTTCCCATTTGCTAAAAGCAAACGCCCTGAAGAATCAACGGCCTCATCCTATTACCGTATGGTTTTCAAAGTGTCAGGATGATTTTTAGCTTCGCTTTCATGGAACGTCATGTGCTTCTAACCTCTGGGCGCCTCATTTTTCTTAGCATCCAAATGAAGATAAAAATAATACCAACTAGATTTACTGGAGAATAAAATGATCCGTGGGCAATACTTAAGAGTTGTGCCTAGCACATAGCAAGCATCCTCAAATGCTGGTGATTATTATGGTCACTGTCATTCCTCTAACAACCATTGGGAGCTCAATTTTCTAGGACGAGGCTCATCCAGGAGAAAGTACTTTCTAAAGTGCCTCCCTGATAAGAAGATTCCCCTCTAAAACACAGCAGCTGCCCCGTTCTTTTCACTCTTACTTTGTGCAGGCTTCGTGCCAAGAATTTGATATATATCCTCACACCTTGCAAAAAAACAAAAAACGAACGAAAAAACAATGAGGTGGGGACTAACCCACAGGGAATGAGCCAAGGTTTAGTAAGGTGCTCAGTGAGAAAGGGGATCCTGATTGATTAGCAATGTCTGCCTTGGGCACGGCATCCCAAAGATGCTGGATGAGAAAGCCGTCCTGCACGACTAGTGATGCCTGTCATGGACACAGCAGGAGGGCAGCACCAGACATGCCCACAATCACACAGCCCCCGAGGGGTGGAACCAGGACTCAAACCCGGTCCCTGGAGACCCCAAAGCCTACACACCGCCAGCTACATGCAGCGCTTCGGCTTCCCACGATTTCAAGCTCCTCGAGGACAGCAGATGCGAAAACCCACCAATTCCTCTTAGCGGAGGCTGGTAAATGCCCCGTATAAAGGCTTGCTCTGTGCTTCCCAGAACGTCCCCTCCACGGAGGCAGAAATTTCTGCCCGGTTTGTTCACCACGGCCTCCCCAACACCCACAACAGTGCCTGCCTGGCACATAGTAGGTGCCTGATAAAACCCTGTCGCCGGAACGAATGCGCGAACCGGCCAGGGGCCATCGCAGGCATGCTCCCGACCACCTGGGGAGTTCCGGGGGCCCACGGAGAAACCACAGCTGGGAGAACTGAACCCCCCCACCCCCGCCAAGGTCTGGCAGCCAGGAGGCGGGACGGCCTGGGTGTGGATGCGGCCTGTCCCAGACGCTAAAGCACCACACGCCCCCACCCCCACCCCCGGGGAAACCGGTCCCCTCGGAGCCCCGCTCACCTGCAGAGGGGAAGGGCGGGCACCAGCTGCTTGGGCCACGTGGGCGGCATCAGCAGGATGGACTCGGGGGCCGAGTTCCTCCTCTCCTCCTGCTCGCAGGGGCCCAGAAATTCCACGGCGGCCGGGTACAGGTGGCGGGGCAGGCCGGCCTTGGGCGGGGCGGCGGACACGGGCGCCGGCTCGGGGCTGGTCTTCCACATCTTGGGGGGGATGCCGCAGGGCGAGTCGGCGGCGAGGCTGTTCAGGGCGTCCATGAGGACGG